TTCCTTTCATTTCTTACCTTTATCCTTGGTCAAATCCAGATAGGCTACTAGGTCCTGTCCATGCTCTCTATGTTGCCAGCACAGCTTCCTTCCTTGGTGCCCATTCCTGCCTATTTGTTCCTTGGCAGACATCCTGTGTTCATGACCTTTCTCCTTCCACCCTGACCAATTGGGTTTGGCTTTTAATTTGATTGGCTTATTATTCCTTATCATCTTATTCACGTAATTTGTTCCATATGTCTTCTCATCAGATCAGGCACCTTACCTTTTCCCTGGTGTCTCATCTCCATCGTCCCTTGTAGGAAATTCTTCTGTCGGACATGTGGACTACTCCACATACGATCATATCTCATTATTTGCATTGGATCGCTGTATCTTCAACTTTGGGTTATCATCTTCCGCCTGTAGCTATTCTTCAGACTTCAGTGAGACTGTGAATGGGTAAGTTATGTTTTATATATATATATATCTTTTTTTTTCGAGGGCTTTTTACTTTTTTCTACTGTCTGGATCCCACTCTGTGGCAAGTGGTGCCTGACCAGGTAAGCTTTTCATAGTCAACTCTGCACTGTCAGGCTATGTTAAATGCTTATTTCTAATTTCCATGGCTATAACACACTCACTGTTAAGATGGGATGTTCCACAAAATTGCTTGTAAGTTTGTCCTCGCGACATATTTGATTCATTGATATGCCCGTTCTGGACCATACTCATCTATGGACTTATGGGTAAAGCAGAAGGGCCATCCCTGCCATGGCTTAGATTGAATAAATCAGGTGTGGTCTGCTTTTCAAAATAGGGTTTTCTTGGTCACCCATTGCACTGTCTCTGATGTTGTCATTCCTTTGAACTCTCCACCCCCTTTTCTTCTAGTGGAGTATGGTAGTCCTTACCACTTTCCAATTCCAAGCTGCTGGGGTGGTGGACAAAGGAGGCATTCTCCTGAATGTGAGAATGATAAAACCATTCAGTTGAGAGTAGGGCGATGGTGTTCTGCTGATGTAGATGATGATATGTCCTCCAATCTGATGCTCCATCTCTGTATGGGGTTATCTTAGAGGATGTGGTAGCTTTGGAGTGAGCCATCAAAATTGCAGTTCACCCCTTCAATTGGGATCCTTCATCCTACCCCCACATGGATGTCGGTTCTCAGTGGCTGAGTTTTGGATTCAGAGCTGAACCAATCAATATAAGTCCTCACACATTATAGGTGTCTCTGTTTTCTCACTCAATTATACTCTTGTTCCTCCATCCGTGTTGTGGGTCATGATTGAGGTACTTGCAGATTAATACGGTTCTTCCTCTTATGCTATCCCTCAATGATTTTTTATACCGAGGATGTTATTTTGCGTGGGGAAGTTCCTGTTGAATTGGTTTTTAGTGAAATAGTTTACATTACAGAGACATCTTTATGATACCGATTGCTCAGATGTCTGGTTCCTGGATCTGACAGTCACTTTCTCACATTGCTATCATGTGTCCCGTTCATAGACTGGGGTCATGAGATTCCTTCCAGTCTGCTGAACTTGAGGTGAAGACAGTATGATCCTCTTTCCCACCCCAACATGGATGTTGGTTCCTGGTGGCCTGAGTTTTGGATTGTAGTTGACTTTCTGGCAGTATGATCCTCTTTTCCACCCCTACATGTGTGTCAGTTCCTAGTGGCTGGATTTTGGATTGTAGTTGACTTACTGATAGTATGATCCTCATCATACCCCCACGTGGAAGTCGGTTCATGGCGGCCTGGGCTTTGGATGCAGTTAACATGCCGTGTACGGTCCATTACACCCTAGCCACACTACACCTCGGAGCACAGCCTTTCACTTTTATCCACATTCCAGTACTCTATGGGATTGAGATTTGTTATATGATGGTTCTGATCCCTTTCCCACCATTGTTCTCTCCCATAGCGATGTGCTCCTTCCTATTTTCTACAGATGTCTGCAACACCTCATTCCACACTGGGCAAAGGGTATACCTGGTACAGATGTGGTGTGGTCTCCCACATATGATCCTCTCCTATGAGGGTCTATCTTTTTAGGATGTTCTCAAGAAGCTTTTGAGGAATGCTGCTTTGTTTTTTCCTCTCACCTGTCCCTTCACCGGAAATATATTTTCAGTATAAGAAAATTATAACTTATGTATGACCGTACACAACCATAAAAAATAGTGATAATTATTGATTAAGATATTTGGAATAACAATTATTTAAAACCAAAAATTAAAAGTTTATTTCATTATTTTTAGTTTACAAGTAGTTTTGTATATCTTAAAAACTCAAATAATTGAGGTAGAGATAGCTCTGCAACCATATGCTATGTTTAACCTTTTCCAAACAAAACTTGCTTTTGATGTTAAATCTGAGATCACCTCAATGTGCAGAGTTGCTTTATCCTAGCTGGAATGGTTGACAGTGCAGCTCAGAGCTCCTGCTTCACCAGTCTCATGTGTTTCCTCTATTTATTTTTCTTGTGTGACTTTCTAATGCCCCATGATACATCTGTCCATGTTCGATGACATCAGTTGGGAAACACTGTGTTAGAGAATTAAAGTTTAGTTGTGCTCATATCAAGACATCCATATATAATTTAAGTATGTATGTAGATGAATGCTGTGTATAGTTCAGAAGTCTAAGAAATACTGCTAAATAAACAGTTTTGCTTTAATTTATAGCAAAGTTAATCTAACACTTTTTTTTGTAATGTTCACAAAGTTAGCCTAAGAATAATAAGGATGGGAGTTTCCATCTTAATTTTTTCTTTTTTGCAAACAATAAAATATATAAATATATATACACATAGGATGTTGTTTGATATGAAGATACATATTGGAGTTTTTTAATCATTTCATATTGGGTCACTAGGTGGCAAAGTAATTCACATTTCTATTCAATCACATATCGAATGAAGTCTTCCAGACCCATATTTTTTGTTGACGATGATGTTATCTGTTACGCCTTTACTTACTTTTTCTACGATTGAAATGCTTATATTCTTGAATCATGCAGCTGATACATACCTAATTATAAAGTTGTGAAAAATGTAAGACACTGGCAGAGGTATAAAGAAAAAGATGCACCATATCGGCTCAATGGAGTGCGAGTATAAAATAAACTGACAATCCTGGACAATATTTTTCCATTGTGTATAGCATCTGTCTGAACTATGGAAGCAATGGCTAAAAAAAACCTTGTAATCACAATCCTAAGAATGAACAGCACGTGAAATTAAATAATTTAACACTTCCAGCTGCTGAACCAACCACAGGGAGGATAAGCACAATAAATCGAGTAATGCCTGTTTGCATGTGTTAGTGAACACTGCTGTATTCCAGATCTCAGGTGAGTTGGAGAAGACAAAGAAGCACTCAGTAAACTTCCCATGTCAAGGAAGTGTGGAATGTAGGAAAACACACACTAAGTGTTACAGATAATTACAATGTACTTGTTAGGTGCTTGTATTTTAATGTAGTTTAATAAATTATATTTATATTATTTTACACAGTCTGTGTTTATTCCTGTAAGTTTTTATAATCAAATGTTTATATATATATATATACACATACACATTTAACATAAAAGTGTAATAATAGCCAGTTTAATAGCAAAAATAAGTTAATTAGGCTGATCAAAAAACCTTTGAATTCTGGAGAAAAATACCCATAACCAAAATGTTTTACCTTGCTACACCTAGTAGGCTTTTCAGTTTTGGTCACTTTCTCTTGCTCCTTTCCCTGGAATATAAATATTAGAAAAAGACATTTTACTTCTTAAAGTCTTGTAGTATTTCTATGGTAGAACATTTATGTATGACTGTATTATGTCATTGTAATGATACCACAAAATTATGTAATCTTTTGACCATTCACTGTCTGGTTATGGCTATTCTTTGCATTTTATGTTACTTTATGAACGTTTCATTAAAAATTATTTTTTTATTACTAGACTAGGCCATGATATTACCGTTATCATATAAATTATTATTACTAAGAATAATATGAATTTTTAAAGAAATTAAATCTCTGAAAGTATGATTTTTTTATTAATTTTGTAACACCTGAAATTGTGATGCAGATTACTTAATACTTATTTTAAAATCAAGGATAAAATAATGACATTTAAATTTTCTGTTTGTTTTGACTGTAAGCTGTTTTTTCTATTATTAAAAGTGCTAAATTTATGAGAGCCTTTGTAACATTTTAAATAAGGTGTGTTTTAAGCATTTTTCAAGTACCTTAACAATCGTAAGGTATGGAAGTTGAATTCCAAGTATTGGATTAATGTTAAATATATGATTTCATTAAGTTTTTAACAGAATTATATATGGTTAAAAAAATATTTGAGGCTTAAAGTTACCATTTTGGTAACATTTCAAAAAGGCTGATTTCTGTTGACATGCATTATTATAAAAAAAATTAATTCCATCAAATAATATCTTTACTGTATAATAGTGAAAAAATGGCTATTAAAATGATAAACAGTTGTATCTTATTTTTTGTTGTAGGCCTAACGATTTAAATGAATTCAAAAACTTCTGTTTTTTTTTAAGTTTTGAAAAATCCTTTACCTGATGACTAAAATTGTGATTTAATAAGTTTTTATTCTGCCTTTTCTTATCAGTGATTTTTTATTTGTTGTTTAAAGTTAAAAAACATAGTAGAATACATTACATATTTCTACATATCTACCCTGTATTGAAGTTTTGTGAGTTAGCTATTTTTTAAACTAATTATAACTTATATAATCCAGGTAGTTCTGATCTTGAAACTGAATTAATAAGTTTCATGTGGCCAAATGAATAACTTCTTTTGCTGACAATATCATTAAAAAATCTAATAATTTAAGTTGTTTAAGAAAAGCTAATTTTATTTTGTAAGGTGGTGCTATTTTTGAAAGTATTATCTGTATGTTTATGTTTTGCTTATATAATATTATTTTGTAATATTTATTATATGAAGTTATTGGGGTAATAAAATGTTTTTATTTTCAATGTTACAGGTTGAGCAGAATGTCTGTGTGCAACCCCGAACAACTAGCTACCACACAGAAAGCTGTTGAGAATAAAGTAGCACTTTTATTTCAATTTCTTAGTCACAAGGATAATGATGTATCATTAGGAGTTTGTGATTTTGCTCGAGAATACGTACAGTTTCTGAAGCAGCAGTCTAGTGTAGGGGCATATCGTTTTGCTGGAAAATCAAATGCTGAAGTAGGTACAAGGTGTATGACAGGTGGTCTGTACTTTTGTGTATTTTTACCAAAACTTTTGTTGTCTTTGTCTACTCTGTTAGGTATCTTTTCTCATTAACCTGGAACAGTGATGAAGAATGAAACTTAGGGTTTACTGAAATTTATTTTTATACTGCCACAAAAGCTGGATCCCCTTAAGATTGAAAAAATATGTAGGGAAAAGAACCATTTGCAATTTGCCCCAAAGTCAGAACAAGATTGATATAGCTCAAATTCTTTACTCTGCTTTCCAAACCATTGGACTTCATAATCTTTAACAATATACAGGAAGTGCTAGAAGTAGCAAACTTTGTACCTTTAGTTAATATCTAACCATGTGCAGATTTGATGACCAGGAACCTACTTTAAGACGATAAATTTAGAAGTCAGCTTGGAAGAATAATGAATAAAATTTTATTACAAATTGAACATAGTAGCAAATGCACAACATTTTGACAAGATTTTGTCATCATTGGATAAACATTGTCGAAATGTTATACAATTGTTACTGTGTTAAACTTGTAATAGTTTTATTCATTATCTATTCAAACCATCTGCAGACTATATTAAAAACAAACTCCTGATGCTAACTAAAAGCTTGCCATACCTCATCCAAATACTCTCTGTAAATTTAGTTATTGTGTGTTTACTTTTACACTTCCAAGGTGGGTTAAATTGGCCCACTTGATTCCTAAAGTGTTAATCTTTAACTAGATAAAGGAAGTGCTAGAACTAGCAGATATTTTCGTTTTTCTGCCAACTTAATGAAACTTTCAGTAGAACTGTATATCCAGAAAGATATATTTTAACCAGATGTCATGAAAAAAGTGCAAAATAACCATTGCTTTGTATTTTGTGTTTGTTTCATTGAAATAAGCATTTTACCTACAGAGATACAACTCGTAATGTCTTGTCAAGTAGTATTGAATTTCTTAACATTTTGTCTGGGAAACACCAGAAGGTTATATAAAAAACTGTGTTGGTAAAGAGATGTATACAGTTCATAAGATTAGTATTAAATGTACAGATTATTCTCATAGTAAGTTCATAAACTCAGCTTTAATTATCATGCTAAATTCTGTTGACTGCACTATACAGTAGTGAAATTTTTATATATAACTACATCATGTTTATAACATTGTATGTTTGTGGAATCCATTTGCAGGCAATGCTCTGTATAATTATAAAGAAGTACAAGTATAACGACTCGTATAACTTTGACCATCAGGTAAGACAACAAAAAGTGCTTTATGAAAAATATTATTCAGTGATAGATACTTATCTCTAATTTTGGCACGTTTACATTTGACATTTCATAATGGTGTAAATCCAAAGGTTTTTTATCTGTTGAAAATTACTGATTTTGTTATCTCATTACGTTTTCTTTTGTTAAGACTCTTGTGTTGAAGTATTCATAAAGTGATTATTATTTACATAATTAAAAGAGTAATATCTGTCTGCATGTGTGTGCATGCATGGGAAGCTTTTTATACTTCATTAAACTATGCAACAATGAAATTAGGAGTAGAGAAGTATGGATGATGTCACCATTTGTGTAAGGGAGGGTGGGTGTAGACTGTGCCATGCATTGCAATGGAAATGGTATTTGAGGAATGAATCTTTCGTGTTTCAGAGTCGCATCCCAGCAGTGTTTGTGTGTTAAGGTTTTGTGTGTGAACTTCTTCATTTGTTTATAGATACTTAGAGTACTGGTAGAGTTACCCTGTTGAGTAGGGACTTGGGAGTAGTATAAGTTTTAATACTTACCCCTGATATCCAGGTTTTGAAAGCATTGCTAGATCTAGTGTATCTTACTAGATAAGTTGATAATTTTTTATTAGACCATTCATATCAAAGTGTCTTTTGTACTAGAGGTGTTTGATGGGTATCACGTGCTATGGAATAGGTTTAACCTCGTAGTCATTGAGATGCCCTGCATGGCCATTGGAATCATTCAGAGCTCTACATACCTAATCTCATACATGAGTATTTAACAAATTTAAGTACACAGCACTGTTTTTACATTTTATTAACTTTGTGCATTCATATACAAAATACCACAACAAACAAATGTCTCACATTCAAAGGATGAGTTTTCCCATAGTAAAATATTAATTCACAGATGTTTTTGTTAACATTTTTTTTCTCCATATTTTATAATCCATAAAATCACTAATACCATCTTACAATATAAAGTACCCACGTTAGCATCCATCACCAAGAATTGGCTAACTGGTATGGTAACTAGAAATTATCAAACAGTGTAGATAGGCTATTTTATTTCAGGATTTTTGCCTGAGAAAAAAGATAAAAAAGCCCCTAACATAAGGAACATCTCCACTTGTTTATAAGACTTTTGAAGTCTGTTATTACCATCCACAAAGCAGGATATGCAATTAGCATCTAATGAAGTCATTAAAAGAAAGAAGGGGAACATTATCTAAGAAGGCTCTTTATACCATTTTTTGCCTCCTTAGCAGGTGCACTTAGTGAGCTTAAAATAAGTATGGGTTTAAATCAATCTAGTACTAGTACTTATGCATAAAGAGGTTTCTGTTATAAACAGTAATGATTGTGAAATGTTTTCTTTTTTACAATATACTGTTTTTTAATCTAGTTTAAATGCTAATAAAATTTGTCAATCTGTGATGTTTTTTATCTTTTGTACTATCAAACCAAGTAATAAAGTTTTCAAAGCATAGTTATGAAAATTTTAGTAACAGAGCTAATTTATAAGGAAATAAATACGGAAATATTGTTTAAAATCTTGTAGGTTAAGTCATCAAAAGATGAAACAAGGATAAATGTTTATATATTTGTACTTTTTTGAAAATTGTAATAACCTAACTTGGTAAGTAGCACATTTACATGCCAGCCTGGTAATTGTACTGTAAATTAACATTATTTTGATAGTTTCATGGCAGCCTGGTAACTTGACACCATTACATAGTTTTGTGGCAACCTGTTATAAGTTTTACTTTGAGTTAACAACATCACAGTTTCACATATACCATACTAAACAACATCTCATAATTTTATGGCAGCCTAGTTACTTAACAGTCAACTCTCCAATTTTTCATGTTGAAACTTATCCATCCAGAAGAAAAAGGCATTTTTTTTCCTATCACAATTTCTTCCTGTGTGCTGAAGATAGTGCCTTACTGCATGTGTTCTGGTTAACTGTTGAATCAAGGTTAACTCCTGTACATCCAAATGAGAACATTTTGACTTATGATGATGGCTTTGTGGCATATTTTTAAATTCAACCCGTGGATCAAGGTGTCATACCATCATTGAAAAATCAGTACTGAGCTGGCCATTTCAAGACCTTTCTTAAAGAAGACATTGTGATGATGACACTTTGGAAGCAACTGATGGCATTGGATGCAGTATATAGTGTTTTCCGAGTGTAACTTTTTCCAGACTTCAAAGAATTTAATGACAAGGAAGTCAACAACATTGAGCTGGCCTGAATCCTGCATGGTATCAATGTACATGTATTTGAGAATGTAGACAATGAGGAACTGCTGGCATAGTTTGAAAGTGACAAATGTGAACCAAATTTTGACCATATGAGTGATTCTGATATTGTAAATGCAGTACAGGAAGACAGAGAATTACAACCATGAAAGTTACAGGGAGGTAGGAGAGCCAGAACGTGAACACACAAGTGACAGCATCACAGCATCTTGATACCATATTAGATTACTTGGGACTGCAGAGTTTTGATTACAATGATGTTATAGCAGCCAGGAAGAGAAGAACAATTAAAAGAAATAATATAAATGAGTCTGTGAAACAAGCAAAAATTACAAACTATTTTATTAAATAGTTTCTACTGCAGTATCAAAATATTATGTAATTTTAAGGTGAAGTTGTCCCAGAAATGCAGGTTCACAGATTATCCATGTTTTCAATTATTTGTGAACCTTCCCCCATTTGATTACCGTGAATAATCAAGAGTTGAATGTAGCTTCGTATGGTAACTTCACATCATCACTCAGTTTGATGATAGTCATGTATGTTTTATTGTACTTAACAACATCACATAGTTTCATAACATCCTCGTAAATTTTACCACATGCTGTTTGGAATGAATTCATACTTGGTGAAAAATTTTACATGTACTCTGTGATCTTCACTACATGAAGAGAGTCGTAATATTTTGAAATATCCATGTTTACATTAATGGGTTACATGCATATACTTGCTTTTCAACTGTATCTGTTATAAAAAGTTGTATTGTTGTGTGACTTTTTAATTATTGCATGGATAAGTTTCACTTCACATTACTGTAAATAAATGAAACTATTGTACTTGATTAGGCAATAGTGTAACCTTCTTGTCATGGTGATATCAACAATGATTATTTTATCATCAGGGTGAAGCTGAAATATCCTTTGATGACTACAGAAAATCTTTGAAAGTTTTGTTTGACAATCTTGCACAGCTGGTAAGGTTCTGAATGGTTGTTTAAATTGTTTAACTGAAACTACACATGAAAGTTTACCATTAGAAAGTTTTATATCCAGATCTTTCTATTTTTAATGCTATACTACTACTACTACAATAATTGTTTGTGTTCGTTAACAATTTGTTGTAATTTTCAATGCATTGCTTTTGTCTTAAACTTAACTTCTGCCTGTATGTTTGTGATATTGTCGTGTTTTAGTATTCGATATTTTCAATAAACATTTTGTGAGAAAGAATAAATTTTAATTTATATTGGAATAATAATAATAAAAGTTTTTTTCTAATTATTCTCTGTTACATACTTTTTAACAAATATTTCTAGTGAAAAAGGCCATTATCATTAATTGTCAGGATGATAAACCCGATAGTTTCAGAATAGAAGTTGTTGCACTTCTTTTCAAACGTTTTTGTTTTTTAACAAATGTTTTTAAGTAAACAAATATATAAAACTTAAATTCTACCCACACACACACAAAATTAGAAAAATATTGTTAAAATTTCTGTTCTGAAACCGATTGATTTGTTATCCTGACTTTAGAGAGAAAAAAAATCGTACACACGATTATGGTTTGTTTTCTGTTAGGATTATGAGTTAGTCCTGTGTACAACAAAGGCTATGATCACAATAACTCTTCAACAGTGGAAGAACTTGCCATTTCAAGAAGTGGAGGTAGCTCTCACTTTCTTGTATCTACTTGGAGAAGCTGTCCCAGTAAGTTTAATAGTTCTTAATGATATATATATATATATATATATATTTTTTTTTTTTTTTAAAGTTACTAAATATACTAAATTTTGTTTAGTAAAGTTGTGACTGACAGTCCAGAGTCACTTGTGTAGTTATTTATATTTTACTTTGCATGTACATTTCTCCTGAACATTCTGACTTAATGTATCATGTAAACTGATCAATTAAATTATGATTAAATTGATTAATTTCAAGAAAATCAGAATAATTCATTGATAGATTGTTTAGGCAGAATATTCATGATGAAATTTAATGGAATGGATGGCAACCACCTGTTGTAGAAACATAAGTATAGAGGGTGATGTTTCAAAAGTCTTCCGCCTTTTCATCTTCATATCAGTTTGTGTATGGTGTTGTCGGTCTTTATAGTATTCTGGTGGATTGCGGAGGGCCTGTTATGAGTGGTTGGTTTATGCCAATTACTTATTGGTGGAGAGACTTCTTATAGATTCAACCAGTGGTAACCACATGCTACTAACCTCTAATCTGGAATCTCTGTTTAGTGGAGGTTTTATTGTGTAAATGTAAAATGATTCTTTAATTTTTTCTTGTCTTCCAAAATTTGTCTGGGTTGATGATTCTAGTTTTTTCACAGTTTATTTTGTGTTCTTTTATTCTCTTATTTTTCTTGTCTTCCAAAATTTGTCTGTGTCGATGATTTTAGTTTTTCCCAGCTTATTTTTTGACCAGTTGACATGGTGTGTTCTGGAATGGATGAATTCTGTATTTTCATGAGTCTTGTACTATCCTTATGTTCTTTTATTCTTGTCACGAGTCTTTTTCCCATTTCTCCAATGTATGTTTTGTTGCAGGAACACTGAATTTCATAAATGAAGTATTTGTGTTTCTCATTGGTAGGTTTCTGTTTGTTTTTCACCAGAATGGATCTTAATGTCTTGTAAAATTTCCACCAGATGTGTATGTTGAATTTCTTGGCCATGTGTTTCTGAGTTTTGCACTGAAATTTTGCAGGTAGGGGAGGTAAATGGTAGTAGTGGTAGTGTTTTTCTTATCTTTTCTTTCTGTTGTCATTTTCTTCAGGTTTTTTTTTATGAAGGTAGAGGTGTAACCATTCTGTTTAAAACATTACAATCTTTTGGCATTGAATTACGCCAATTTTTATTGAGGTTGGGTTGGATGATAGGACTGGAAGTGTAGGTATCTATTTGTGTGGGTGGGTTTTCTGTATATAGTTGTTGTGATTAATTTTTTTCTCTTGTCTCTTGATGAGTATGTCAAAAAATGATAATATGTTTTGTTCCTCTATTTCCTTGGTGAAGTGGATTCTATAGAATTAAGATGTTTTAGGAAGACTGGCTAGTTTTCATGACCGTGGGGTCACATAACAGAAAAGACAGAGATACTCATCAATAGAACACTGAACCAACTTGAGAAACAAAATGTAATTAATGAGAAGCTAGCCAAAGTCTTAAGAACCAATGACAATTTTCCCCCTAATTTCTATGGATTACCTAAGGTACACAAACCTAATATACCTTTATGGCTTGTCGTCAGTGCTATAATCTCACCTTGCCATCAACTAGCTACCTTCTTGGTACCTACTTTATCTCCACTATGAGAGAGTACTAAACATCACATTCAAAACTCGACAGATTTCATAGAACAACTCTAAGAGCTACACATCAGATTCGAGGATATTGTGGTAAATTCACAAACCTATTTACTAATGTTCCAATCTCAGAAACTCTTCATATCACCAGACAACGACTGCTGAATGACAACTCTCTACCACACAGAACTGATGCAAGATAGATGCCATCATAGAACTAATGATAATTTGCCTAAAATCAACTTACTTCCAATACAACAATGAATTCTACAAACAGACGATCACCACTCTCTCCAATCCAAGTAGACATTTTCATGGAAGACCTTGAAGAAAGAGCCCTCTCATCCACACATATAAAATCAAGTTTCTACAGATGTTATGTAAATAACACCTTCATTATCTGACCCCACGGTCATGAAAACTTGCCAGCCTTCCTGGAACATCTTAATTCTATAGACAAAAGAATCCACTTCACCATGGAAATAGAGGAACAAAATAGCCTACCATTTCTTGACATACTCATCACTGGACAAGAGAGAAAATCACCGTAACTATATACAGAATATCCACCCGCATGAACAGATACCTACACTTCCTGTTCTATTATCCAATCTCAATAAAACTTGGTGTAATACAATGCCATCACTGGACAAGAGAGAAAATCATCGTAACTATATACAGAATACCACCCACATGAACAGATACCTACACTTCCTGTTCTATCATCCAATCTCAATAAAACTTGCTGTAATACAATGCCTAGCAAGAGAGTAGAAAATATTTGAGATAAAACATCCATTGAAACTGAATGCCAAAAGATCGTAGAGTGCTTTAAACAGAATGGTTACACCTCTACCTTCATCAAAAAAACCCCTGAAGAAAATGACAACAGAAAGAAAAGATAAGAAAAACACTACCACTACTACCATTTACCTCCCCTACTTGCAAAATTTCAGTGCAGAACTCACAAACACATAGCCAAGAAATTCAACATACACATCTGGTGGAAATTTTACAAGACATTAAGATCCATTCTGGTGAAAAACAAACAGAAACCTACCAATGAGAAACACAAATACTTCATTTATGAAATTCAGTGTTCCTGCAACAAAACATACATTGGAGAAATGGGAAAAAGACTCGTGACAAGAATAAAAGAACATAAGGATAGTACAAGACTCATGAAAATACAGAACACACCATGTCAACTGGACACAAAATAAGCTGGGAAAAACTAAAATCATCGACACAGACAAATTTTGGAAGACAAGAAAAACTAAAGAATCATTTTACATTAACACAATAAAACCTTCACTAAACAGAGATTCTGGAATAGAGGTGGTAACCTGTTGTTACCATTGGTTGAATCTACAGAAAATCTCTCCACCAATCAGAAATTGGGATAAATCAACCAATCATAACATGCCTTCTACAATCCACCAGAATACTATAAAGACCAACAATGCCATACATACACATACTGATCTGAAGATGAAGATTTTTGAAACATCACCCTCTATACTTATGTTTCTGTCCATTCAACTAAATTCAACCAGAATTAGTTTTTCTGAGTATTGCTGTTTTTTATTATTCCAGATTAATCAGAATTACAGTAAAACCAACTGGCATGAAAATAATGAACTAATCAAAATAAGTTTTTCTGATTTATTACTGTTTTCAGTTATTTCGACTATCCAAGTACTTGAAATGCTGATAGTATGTTTCTTTGTTGCTAAGCACAAAACTACATAATGGGGTATTTATGTTCTATCTACTTGGGATATTGAAACCCAATTTTAGCATTATAACTTTATTTTTTTATTGGAAGTTTTGTTCATCTTTCGGCCACCATGAACTCGTGATTTGAGGGTCTCTGGTTCGATTCACTTTGCTACCAAACTTGTTTGCCTTATCATAGTTATGAAAAAGCTACTAACGCTATCTGCCACTGTCATTAATTTTGAACTGCAACTAGAGGGAAGGCAACATGGTGATAGCACTAATCACTAAATTTTTGGCTACTTAAATGTTAAGTAAAATGTAAATCTATTGTTTTTTTTTTACATTGTGTTATATTTCTAATTGTATAACTATTCTTTAATGTATGAGCAGGTGTGGATTGAGATGAGGGGGTCCAATGGGTCTGAACACCTCACACTCTGTTGTTTTTTTTTCATAAATTAATATTAAAAAAATAATTTATTATGCTGCCATATTGTATCAAAAAAGAATCATTAGAAGTCAGTGTTTTTATTTGATTGGACTATCAGTAATCACAAGAGCATCAAAAACTAAAATATAAATATGAAGCCTAGTTTATCATTCAATTTACCATTTGTAACTGTAATCAATGACAAGTCAAAAGATTAAAGGTGGGCTTCATGTAGTGGTGGAGTGTATATGTATGGCGTTTTGAAATGTCTTTTACTCACACAGCGAACCTATATTTATTTAAAGAATATGCAGCACTGATGCCACTAATTTATTCTTATGAATTAGTCAGCCAGATAAGCTGTTTCAAACACTGAAGCTCCAAAATTATCTTAACATAACATACCCAAATTCTGTGATATTTATTCTTTTTCCTTTCACTCTGAAATTTCATTTTGATTATGCTTGTATTCTGCATAATAAGTTTCATATATGTGATAAAATTGTTTTACAGTTAGTTTATGGAAATTTGAATGTTCAATTGTAACCATTCAGTGTGGTGAATTTCTAACTTATACAGGGAGTAAATTGCACTTTATAAGAAAGGTATCCTTACATATTTATGTTGCTGCAGGTGTAAGCTGTGAGGTTATTTTTTGTTTTTTATGCCCCATAAATATTTTGTTAAAGCCAACTTCTCAACAGTGTTTGGAGGGTTATTTTACAGATCATTTTAAAAAAAAGGATATGTTGTTAAACAAAGTAAAGCCAAAGGACACACATTTTGAGAGAAGGGAGCACCTTTTTAGGACAACAATTGGTTCTGAAACACTTCCATCTGTTTATTTAGGAAGATAATATTCTAGTCTGTTGTGATAATGCTGGAAATATCTTTTAGTACTGTTAACAAAATAGTAAGAATTTAAAGGTGCTTTTGGTTTGCATGCATTTAACCACACTTTGAAGTCAATGGCTGTTTTTGTAAGACAGATGTCCAAAGAAACTTGAATCACAACAGTCCCAATGATGAAATAAATGTAAACCTTTCCAACTTCAATGGAACTTCAATACAACTTCAATGGGATTTTGTGCCTTTGGCCTATTTAACTAATCATAAAAGCCATGTTTAAAGATATTGAAATTAAATGAAAATGGAAGACAATTCTCATTTATGCTTTAGAAACAGAATCAATAAGATGTACCAATGAAGTAACATTTCTAGAAAGTATGAATTATTGCTCACAACAGAGGTCTCAGAGGACTGGCTGTAAAGAAAAAAACATATTTAAATTTGTTACCATATATTATATGTACCCTAACTTCCATATAAATGTTTAATAAAACATGCATATTATGTTTGGAAAAGTATAGTAACTGAAATGAACAACTTTGTTCTCTCATTTTCTTAGGCATCTCATGGTAATCATTTTGTTGGAGATGGTGACAAACCTTCATCTATGACAGAGCTGCTAAGACTTGTAAGTCTAGTGATTGTATATTATTACTCTTATGTTAATTTTAGAACGTTTAGTTTGAAAATGTCAAATATTAAACCACAGTTGAAATTCTGTCCTTATCTTGATTTTATATTATTTTATTGGATATATTCTAATATCTAATATTTTCTACTTTTGTTTTTGCACATCAAGTGCTAGTTGACAAACGTCTAATAAAAATGGTGTATTAATAACTGCTATTTGTATTTTTGTTCTAAGTTCATAGTAATAGCTCTTTCATACAGAGAATTTGATTAAGTATTCTTAATAGTAGTTACAATATATTCTATGAAACTCGGGTTTTGAAATAATGATTTACTTAGAATTCAGGTAAACATAATTGGACAATAGTAGTTTCACTGTTAAACCTAAATATTTTCATTATTAATGGGAATTAAGAAATATTTTTTTTATACTACACAATGCTGTTTCCAATTTCAAATAGGTATTGCAATATTATTGCACCAGCCATTTATTAATTTTTTTTTCTCATTCATGCATAAGTAATTTTCTTTTATTTTTCTAGCTGGTAACTAGTAACGTCAGTACTTATGGACACACAGCAGTAACTTTACAGTTTTTTGAAACTGTTGTGCGTTACGAGAAGTTTTTTGGTCTTGAACCTCATCATATTCCTGATATTTTGGTAAGTTGAAATTGTAGGAACACATTAATATAGATGTCAACTTTCTACTTTTGGTTCTAATACAAATAGAATAAACATTCTTTTGTCTGAGAATTATCAAAATGTTGTGGCTAAGACTATTTCCTTGTTTGAGAAACTTAAACCCTTCTTAGTCTGGTTTCTCACCTGCGTAGATAAAACTTGTCACAATACAAAATATAGCTGCAAATCTGTGATCTTTATTTGAAGACAGTGAGCATTTGGAGTTAGTGTTGTCGCAAACTGTAAAGTTTAATTCACTACATTTTTTGTTTTACAACTTTTATGCTTTTAAAACTAACAAAATATTGAGCATGTTCTCTGAAGTTGGTATGACTTTTATCCTCACAATCTGTTTGATGTAAGCTTCCTTATTAGTTATGTGGATTGCAATTTTTTAAACATAAGGCAACTATATCATGGTTTGTAATTTTTGTACACTAGTTAAAAGTAATTAATTAATTAATTGGGTTGAGTCCTCTGCTTGTTTTTTTCATTTTGTTGAAATAATTAATTTGTCAGTTCACTTTTGCTTGGAAAAAAACTCCCACATGTTATTTGAAAACTAGTCTTATGGTAGACTTCACAGAAAAAGTTTTGAGATCATCAACGGAATTGTCTTTTTAAAACAACTATGCGTAATTTTTAAAAGATAAAAACTATTTATTTACATATTACTTTTCAAGCTAATAAAACTTACTGCAAAATTTCTTTAAAGGAAGAGGGCTAACATATCACATGATTAGGGTTATGACTGTAGTATTGTTAATAAACACATGTGAAACCTGGATTTTAAATTAATGGTTACAGGTATATTGTGTAATGGCATGGATGGAGTTGAACTGTAAATTTACCAAACAAAATGTAATTTAGGCCCAGAAATGTTCAATGATTACTGTGCTTTATATTTGAATCGTGTGCATTTCAGATGTAGTTGAGTTAGTTTTTGTGAAAGTAACAGCAGAAGTGACCTATGTAATGCCACTAAAAGAGTCAGGCTAATCAAAAAGATATTTTTAGACATAAAAAAAATTGCTTATTTTACAGGTTGCCTTCATGGATGAACGAGGACTTCATAACAGAAACTCTCGATTACGCAGTCGAATCTGTTACCTGTTTTCACGGTTTATCAAGTGCTTGAAGTACGTATAATTTTGTGAATGGATCTTGTGCTGTGCTTGGTTCAGTACTTCTTAAATATATCAAAGTAATAGTACTTGCAAAAAAAGCTTAACGTTTATTTTCATAACATTTCGTCTTTAGCAAATCGTGTTAAGAATCTGCTTCAATATGATTAAAAACAGAATATCCTATATGTTATTGAATATATGAAGTTATTTAGAGAATTGAGCAGAGTAGGACCATGAGATTTTATCTAATTATTAGATAATTTAACAGGCTTCACATTCAGGGATATACGGAGGACATCCTGAAACAGGTACAAGACCTGCTACTTCTAGCACCACCTGAAAATGGTTTCAGCACAATGTTACTGATTCCTGAAGATCAGCTGTTTCTCTATGAAGCATCTGCCATCTTAGTTGTTTCAAGTCAGTTTGAAGCTCAGGTAAGAAGTTATGTTTGATTTCATTCTAATAATTAGAGCCTCCTTCGGAAACTCTGTTTGCTTGTTTTACAGTTCTGAAGTTATGACTATTATGTAGAGATTGAAATACATGAAGCAAATGTTTCATAGAGAATGTGTAGTTAATGAAATAGTGTAAAGTTTTGTGGAGAAAATTACATTCAGCTTCTTTCATTACGAGATACTAATCTCTAGAATATGTACTCAGTGTAACAAAACTTAATGTGTTTAATAACATCCTTGTATTGTTGGCTAATGCTCAGTTTCTTGTTATGGTAATCTATTTTATGTATGCTTTGTTTCAGAATCTTTCTGTAATTTTTAGCTAAAGCTCAATTCCTTGTTGTTATGGTAATCTGCTTTATGTGTGTGTTTTGTTTCAATATTTTTTTAAATTGTTGGCTAAAGCTCAGTTCCTTGTTTTTATGATAATCTATTTTATGCTTTTTTTTTCAAAATCTTTCTCTTTATTAATTAAGTCTCCTAATGCAGTATTGAACTTGATGAAACTGGTTTCTTGCAGTGATGAGCACACTAAAACTTATTTTGCAATGATTAACACAAACTTTTCTTTCAATGATGAACACAATAAAACTTATTTCTGCTTGTGGTTATATTTTACTTCATTATATTGTTAAACATCTGTTTTTTACTTATCTTTTAAAAAATCAGATGTGTTTTGCTATTTCCATGGTTCTTTTCATTTGTTGAAAGGTTTTGAAAAATGTTTTTACCTTCTGTTACATGTGATTATATCTTTATAGAAAGCAGTGCATTGCTATATTTAGTTCAAATTTAATGATTATTTGAATAAAGAAAGGTGAAATGGGCAGCAACTGCCTAGTACAACATGACATTTAAGAAGAAAATCTCGAAGGACTAACCTACGTAGCCCCCAGTAGCTCGGCAGTAAATCTGAAGACATTAATGCTAAAAACCAGGTTTCAATACTCTTGGTAGGCACAGCATAGATAGCAGATTGTGTAGGTTTGTGCTTAACAAAAAAAAAAATTTAATATAAAAAGTAACACCGATGGAAAGGGATGACATTTGGAAAGACTTTCCAAAAGCTGTCTAAATCATCCATAAAATACTCAGTGATTATTTACTTCAAGTTGCTGTATTTGTTCTTAGAACTTGTTTTTGATGTAAGTTTATGATATAAATATTATGTTTCAAGACTAAGTTTGAACCTACTTGTCATTTTATAACATGATATCTTAATTCTTGTTCCAATACTTACATGGCATTGATAGAAAACTTCCCCTGGAAACTACTGAAAGTTTATATAGTCAGAAATTAAAAATATACAATTGTAATGATTTTTAATCTTTTGTTTTTTTACTATATAAACTTAGGTGGTATCATTGTAGTTTTCAAATGAAAAACATATTACACAAAACAATATCAACAAACGTTTTTTTTTTGATAATTGTCGTGAAAAAAAACAAAAACAATGGGAAATAAATGCCCAAAGAAACTGAATTAGTTAGGTTGCACTTGCCAATATAAACAAATTCTTGATGATTGTAAGAAGAAAATTTTATGATTACTTTCCTCTTCAGTATTTTATAGCATCTATAGCTGACTGACAGTATATAGAAAGATTAAAAACATATAGCATGTTATGTAAAGAAGGGGAGAGGAGAAAGTTAGGCTTAAAGATAGGTAAGAAAAACATTTACCTGTCCAAAAACGTCTAGAATGCATTACAAATTTAATGAGAAGTTTAAAATTGTGAATTATTCACCACTACAATTATTTTACCTTGCTTTAAAATGTATTTTTATGAACACTTAACATAGGAGAATAATGGAATTATTTTTTAAAGTATTTCTTTCCTAAGTTTATCACTAAAGGAAATTGAAACTGGTTAAGACAGTGTAGTGGAGGATTAAATAGTTTTGCAATATATTTATTTAGATTTTTTTCTCAATCCTATAGGGGAAAGGAAGAGATTTGAGTTTAAAATGTCTTGAGTACAATTTGACGAGCTTGAAAATTAGCATTATTTATTTTTTGACACTAAAAATTTTCTTGTTAGTAGAAAATCAATTTTATTAGTCACTATAGTAACCTCTATTATAGTGATACATTTTAGTGACAGCATTGCTTTGAAAATTTCTTTTTTATAGCACAAGAAGTTGTTGTTGAAAAATCTGTTAAGTCCAGTGATGGCAAAGTTTGAAACACTTCTTCAACAGTTACAAATGGAGACAGATAAGAACCGGAGTCGAGCAGTTGCTGAATGTATGAGTCATGCTATTGCTTGTACGAGGTAAGTAGTGGCTTAGCTGTATATATTTGAGAGGCTTTTACTGTCTGTACAAATAGTTTAAATAACGCTTTATTTATCTATATATAAAGCATCTTGATGTCACTACCCCCCATCCACACATAAGCAAATAAAAAGTTCATTGATTATTTAGTCTTTTTTTTCTTCTCACAGTGGTAATATCTACCCAAATTACATGAAGTTTAGCATAAACTTATTAAATAGTATCTTAGCTTTTGTTAAATTTGTTTTTATAGTTTTTTTATGCAATGATATTTCACTGTGAGACGCTTTTTAAAAGCATTAAAAAGTACTTTGTTTTCTCTTAGAATTTCTTTTTATATTGTTGATGTTTCATTTTATACATATATAATCAGTTTCAAAGTAATTGAAACCCATTAACATAAATTCTCCTTTGACCATTTATTTTGCTGATTACATATAAATCTTTGGTTTGGGATTTGGAAAAAAAAATTATTCTAAAAAGAAATTAGTAAACGTGTTTCTAGGCAAGACTTCTTGGTGCTATGCAGAAGTTAAAGTAGGAAATTTTTCCATTTTTGAAAGTGACAAAATATCAATCAATTCTTTTTTTTAAGTTAGAAATTGTTTAAACACTATTATAATTATTGTTTTTACTTAAAAAATTTTATGAAAGTGTACACTTGACACCTGGAAAGCACTGTGCCATCTCATAGGGTTAACCCTATTGGCGTGAGTATTTTTTACTGTGCATGACACAACGTTTTAATGTCTTACATTCAAACTTTAAGAGCATAAAATCTTAGCTAGTATACAAGTTTTATGTTCTTAATTTTTAAGGCAATATTTAAAAAAATCCTGAATTTCCACTAGTGTGACCCACGTGACATCATCTTTATTTTATCCACCACCCCTCTAAAAAGTACGAAATCAAACGTAAATTATTCTCCATAAAATTGTTATTTCTCAGACAAACCATAATTTTTATAGCCTTCAATTTTGTTTGGTAACTGAGCTATTGAATAGAAAATCAAACCCACACCCACCTGTTACATTCTCCCTTTCAGAATTCGTTGATAGTTCTCTCTTATGTTTCATTATATATTACCTATAACCAATAGAAAGTCAAGGTTTTTCATCTATCAAATGACGTATTGTATAGTGTTATGTTGTGAACAGTTAGATGTCAATTTGATTCGGAGTAACAACATTGTTCCCATTGGAAAGTTAACGACTAGCTTGGATGAATTTGTAATGGCTCTTGTTGCATAGTTATAAAGCCAGAACAATTTTGAAAAGTAGGTGAATGTCTCTATTTTTTGCATGTTATTAGTCTATATTCTTTGGTGCATTATTTGATTAAATAAAAATTAAGTGCATTACTATCTATAGTATAAAAAATTAGGGTTAACTCTTTGAAAACTGAGAGCAAGAAAAAAGAAGATTGGGTAAGTATTTTATTTCATGTTTATTCTTTAAGTATAATTATAAAAGTAACTAAAATGTAAAAATAGGGATCCTTTTAGGTTTGTTAATATTAGATTAGCTAAAAGAAATAATAACAATAATATTATAATAAAAATGTTTCATGAGGCACACACGTGAGCAGCTCGTGGGTAATGTAATTTGTTAGTGTAACGTGAGCTGGACATTCTTCAACTGATTTACAACTTATAATGGTGTGGATAGTAGTTAGACATGGTTTAAGAGGCAATAAAACAATAAAATTTAATTTTAAAATAGATGTATACTGTTATTAACTTAGAGGTACTTAGGATAAACGAATGTAGTTTCATGTTACAATTTGAAGTAATTTTAAAAAGAAAAAAGAGTAATTTAGGTTTATTTCGATTTTTTTTTGGTGGTTATGAGATCGGTCAATTTGACCAATCCCGTTTTTAAAGTTTTACTGAAAAAAAACATTTGAAATGCATTTAGGAGATTTTAGGGATTACACAAAGGAAATTTGAGATTTTTGAGGTAGGGAAAATTATTTATAATTTTAACATGAAAAATACTTTTCACACAGACTATTCAAAACAAATACTCAATATATTCATGGACAAATCTTT